TCCACATGGCTGACACTGACAAAGGATCTACAAACTGCAGTACAGGGCTTCAGGGTAAATCCTGAGGGGATTTGGCTGACCTTGTCAGATACGAAAGTTACATTTCTTGTTATATAGTTCTTGCTTTATCTTGGTCTTAACCATCCAGCAGAAAAGTATAAAAACGAAATATAAAAAGTAAAGCCATAATAATATGCTGAGCTGTAAAGGGCTCAAGTCAACAACTTCTGACATTGCTAGTAATATGGATAACCCACTACTATTATGGACTGCTAGACTACATTGGATTATTTTGCTGAATTCTTGTACCTATAATATTTAAATGGCAATGGAATATCCATCTCTAACAAAACTAAACAAAAAAAAGGGGGGATACAAATGAAGGACCACTTTGTATCAGTATATACAAAATAGGATAGATATACAGCTAGTTTCTCTTAATTCAATGAGAAGAAAGATTTGTATCAATAGTGTTTGTGGACAGGATATCATGTCTGCATCTTGTACTATGAATAACCACTACAGAGACAACAATATGAAATATATTAATTTTGTAACTGTCCTACTAACCTGTTTTGAAACTCATTGGTATTTGTTTCTCAATAAAATTAATAATAAAAAATAAAAATTTTAATTGAGATCAAAGGGAGGGAATAAGTACAGACTTTGTGAAAATTACATCATTAACTAAATAAATGTTTATTCAGAAAAAAATAATTAAGCAGAGTTAAGGGCACCCTAATTCACTAGGATATAGTAGCCTTGGTCATTTAGTTTAATGATTTTGAGAATGCTCTTTGGGGGCACCCTTTAACATTGTCCACATGAGAAATTCTAAAACTATTGTCAGCCTCTGTAAGATTTGGTGTTTCTGTCAAGACAGTTAGCTTAAAATCTTAGTTGGCTGCTAATCACTTTCCTGTTTAACAAATGTGGTTTCAAAACCAAAAGCAGAGAATGTGTAAATCATGTTTTCTATCATGTTGCTGTGAGTTGGAATGCAATTTCTATTTCCAGCAAGCTAAATTTATCAGCTAAGATATAAACTTAGGAACACTGTGGCCATGTTATCTTTGTCTTCTTGCCCCAAGTTGGATCTTCATGAATGATTCCTCACAATACAGCTAACTGGTCAATCTCTGTCATGTAAAAGAAAAGATACACGAGATGATTAAGGAGCAGCCTTTTCTAAGGACTCTAGTGGTATCTGCTACTGTGTTTCCAACTTTCTGCCTTTATGCTGACTTTGTTCTGATAAAAAAAAAATAGCTGTTTCTACCCTTGCAACACACAGCTTTATTTAACACAGTGGCAAGGACTATTGGCTACATGAAGAAAAAAGGTGCCTTAGAAATACAAATCTCTTTTGTTTGCATTCAGATAAAATTTTTCCCTTCCTTGTAGGACTTCACTAATGGATACAATCTAAAATTCTAACACTTTTCTACCAATTCTCCCTAAAGTTTCAATCTCAAAACTGACGTTTAAAATCCAAAATTTAATAGTTTTGTTTTTGCTTGCAAGCACATAGAATTATGCATGCCAAGAAACCCACCTAGAGCCAAGGACTCTATGTTACTGTGCATTTCACCAAGATTCATGAGTTTTACGTTTCAGGGTGTCATTTGGTACTGCTTTATATAATACCAGTCAGGAATAAAAACCTTACTCTCAAATTTTGAGGTTCAGATTCATTTTTAATCTGAGCCTTTTAAATTTTATATAATTTTAAATTCAAGATTAGTAGATTCAAAAGTTGAGGTATTATTAGGCTATTCTCCAAGAGGTTATCTGATTGCAAGAGTTAAGATTTTTTTTATCTTCATGGCATTGCTGGAAGTAATCTGGTCTACTAGTTACCTAAACTTGCTACCAAAAGCCAAAGGTAGCTTGAGTGTTTGCTTAATTCCAGAATTGGGTGTTTTTTCCTCAATATTATTAGTGGAAACGGTGAAACTTTTTATTTGCTTTGTTTTGTTAATCTTCCCATTCTTAAACTAATTACTATTTTGGAAGGAGAAGGCAAGTGCCAGCTTGCATCATAAGCCCATTCATGTGGTTCGGGAGTTTGGGTTAGTCAATGAGTGAATGCTCCTGGGGAAAGACGGTAAGTCTGTGTTCATTAAGATAAACTACCAGAACATAGTGGCTTGGACTGGAGATGTAGCTCAGTGGTATAGTCCTTACCTAACATGTATGATACCAGAGGTTCAATTCCCATTATCATACAACACTATTCCTACCCCAAATTTTAATAGTAGTGTAACACAAAGGAACACATAAGAACTGTAACATAAGGTTTCTAATTGGCAAGCAGCTATTGTTCAAGTGAATATTCAACAGATGAGCTTTTAGACAAAACTATTTTACTACCATCCTATGTCTCTGAAAATCCAATATATAATGACACATTAGGGACAGTAATTACAATACATTCTCTCACATAGAAAAGAAACATGTGAAATACTGTTCAGTACTGATACATAACAATAGTAACATACTATAAAGCATTTTATCAAATTCATCTCCCCCGAGGGTGAAGAAAGTTTTGATGCGACCTCAATTCTAGAGTTTGGAAAGAGCTCTCTTGTCCATTGTTCATTATTTTATATTGCTTCTGGAATGTTCTTGTCATTCCCCACGGTCACATCCTATCAGTATTCAGGAGCTATTAAACGTTTCTGTTCTATTTCTACTTACAAAAACTTGGGGTTGAACAGTTCCCCTACAATTTTGCAATTTGAAATGTTAGAGCCAGTTTCATGGTTCAATTAGTCATAAAATTACCTTCAAAAACTTAGGCTTCTGAGCTATTGTCTTCTAGCAACTATACCCTAAATTCCTTATATGATTTTTAACTTGACTGACTTTGTTTCTTTGCTCCTTGCCAGTTTCTCCAGAACTTTACAAAGCTATCTAGAGACCATATGAAATGATTTTGGTTAGGACAACAAAAGTCTTGATCTCATCTTTGCTGTAGTCTTATATTTGACTTTATGAAAGAGCTCTTCCAGTTTCACTTTTTACTGTTCTAGGTCCACAGAAAGTTAATTTTTCAAACATTGCTACACATTCACTTTTGACAATTATTTCCTTAACTTATTCCTTAGTGATAAAAAAAGAAAAGGTAAAACCCAATACACTGTTATTTTTAACTTTTCAACCATTTTCTGTGGATCAGTCTGAATAAGTGATCTACTTTTCAAATATTCTAGGTGACACTTCCCCAATTACTTTCCATTACAAACATAGGTGTCCCTTTTCCAGCCTCCAAATTAGGTATTCCACCACCCACTGAGTCACTACTAAGTTGACGTAACACACTTTGTTATTGTCTTAGTAGTACTCAACTTCTGGTACTAGAAAGGTACCAGTACTGTACTGGAACTTATTTAAGATACTTGTTGTACTATTGTACTACAGCTATTCTAGCTTCTGTGACATATAATTTCTCCTGACTTAATTTTCTCTTTTACAAAATGTCCAGATAGGGCTGGTTCTAATTGAGGAGGATCTTTTCCAAGTAACATTTCAGCCACTCATGCTCCTTTGCTTCCCTGACTCTAGCATCTCTCTCATAAGGTTTTGAAAATATAGAACTTCATTAAGCCAGAAGATAACATATCGTTGTTATTTATATTTTATTGGATAGAACACAATCACATGAAAAGTTTGGTTGTGTGTTCAGCATAAAGAAAGAAGTTTCGTGACTGGCGAGTCTCTACTGGGAGGTTCTTTTTCCCTGAATCTACAGTGTACAAGAAGCTGAGAGGTTAAACTATCTTATCCACTACCATAACCCCTACTCTTATCAGGTGTCTGCTTATTCTACCAGTCTCAGCAGGGTTATCATTTCACTAGTATATAAGAGAAAGCTCATGTTCTTCTAAATAACAGAATTATTTTAAGGGAGCATTTTTTATAATGGGATAGATACAAAACTCAGATTGCAGAGAGTGGATGAAGAAATGTTACTTAAACAAAAAAGAATATATACTACTTTTTAAAGAAATCTTGACTGTGAAAGAAACAGAGTGAAAGTGACAGAAAGATAAGCTAAGACACCAGAACTTCTAGAAGACTAAAGACTAAACAAATAAAGAGAGAGGGAAGTCTGGAACTAGAATATGCAGTTATTCTTGTATAGAACAGAGTTTCTTATTCGTCTGATACTGTCAAAAAGGAAAGATCAGGAAATTTATAGCATTTGAAAAATAGGATATTGTGCTTAGTGGTCTGTTTTCTTGAGAAGTTTGCAGTCAAGTCATAATGAAATAGTGCTGGAATTTAAAGATTGCAAAGGTGTTTAAATGAAAAGGAAGCAAAGATGCCAAAGGACACACACACACACACACACACACACAAAACGGGAATCAGGGATCAAGCTAAAATTATAGAACCTGTATCTGTAGTGCTTACGATTCATAATGTAGTGTTGTTTCACACTGAAGTTAAACACTGCAGGAGAGAAATTCGCAGATTGTTAGCACTTTGTATGATTATTTACTATAGCACTTATTACACTGTAAAGTCCTTGGAAACAGACTGATTTGGCTGTTACACACACAGTAGGCACATGATACATTTTTGCTTGAATGAATTGATTTAGTCATTGTCAATTCTGCTTAGGTACTCCGTAGAGTCCTGGTAACTGCCCACATTTCATATGGTATGCCAAAGCTAGAAGAAAAAAAACAAAAAACAAAACAAAACAAAAAAAAAAACCCAGGCACACTCAGCTAAATTTAGCAGCCTTAAAATGGCAAGTATGTCAGTTGAGACATACTTTTTGTCTTGTGCCAGTACGTACATCTGTCTTTGATGTTTGCCTTATTTTCTTTATGCCACTATCCTCGAACTAGACCACAAATGGGTACTTCTGAGTTCAATAAGCTACACTACAGTTTTAAAACCTCTTCAAGTTGTTCAGGCATTTTAAAAAAGAGCTCAGAATCCCATCTTTATTCTTAAGACCTGTGCAGAGACAACGGTGAGCATTTATGACGTTCACTTCACAGACACGGCTGTGCTCTAAGAGTAGGACAGCTCCACCAGGGTCAACCTTCTGCAAAGTGCGGCCGATGCCTCTCTCGGAAGCCGAAGTGATGTCAGACATCACCCAGGTTACACTCCGTATTGCATACAAGTAAAAGTCACACTTTAGCAAGTCTGGATCCAGTATTCAACCTGGCACAGGAGGCTATTTTTCTTTACACGAGGCCAGCTCTCGAGACCCAAAACCCCAGCACTCGGCGTGTAGAAGAGAGCCGACAGCAGTGCACCGCTACGCAGCCGCACTCTCCTAGCTCACACGCGCGGCCTCCGGCCGCCCGCAACCCGCAGCGCCGCCAGCCGGCCCTCGCCCCTCGCGCCGCCGCTCCGGCGCCCGCTGATGGCGTCACCACGCTTCCGCCTGCGGCTGCGTTCTACTCACAAGCCAGGAAGGAAGCTGGGTGGACTGCGGGGCCAAGTGGGGGAGCAGCGAGGACAGAAAAGCCATCGGGCGCTCTTGGCGCCCGGGCCGTATCCGCGAGTCAGTGCTCTGGCACAGCCAGCCTCGAAAGCCGGCCGGTGCGTCTCTGCGGAATTCCCGGCGCCCCGCCGCGCCCGGCGCTCCCGCCCTCCTGCCCCGCGCTCCCCGCCCTCATATCGCGAGACGCGGTGAGAGCTGGCGGAGCGGCGGCCGCGGCAGTAGAGGTGACCGAGGCGGTGGCGGCGCGGGCGGCCCAGAGCGCCGAGTGGGCCCCTGAGCGGCCGGAGTCGCGGTAGAGCGCCCCTCACGCCCCCTGTCCACCCTCCCGCCCGCGCGCCGGGATGGAGCAGGCCCCGGCGCCCGCGCCCGCGGCGGAAGGGAGCCCCCCGGCGGCTGTGAGCGCGGGCCCCCCCGCGGGGGCGACGGAGGTCGGCGGCGGGGCTCGAGCGGCCTCGTCCCCGCGTGGGATGGTCCGCGTCTGCGACCTGCTCTTGAAGAAGAAGCCGCCGCAGCAGCCGCACCACAAGGCCAAGCGCCACCGGACCTGCCGTCCCCCCAGCAGCAGCGAGAGCAGCAGCGACAGCGACCACAGCGGCGGCGGCGGCGGCGGCGCTTCAAGCAGCAACAACAGCGAGGAGGAAGAGGAGGACGACGACGACGACGAGGAGGAGGTGTCCGAGGCAAGGGCTGGGTTCCCGGGGGAGGCCGAGGGCTGGCCTGCGCAGGCAGCGGCGGCGGGACGCAGCGCGGTGGTCCGGGCCAGGTCAGGCGCTCCGTGCCTCTTGCTCCTCGCGGCCTGGAGCGCAGTGCCGCGTGGGGCGGGACACGTGGGGCGCAGGCCCCTGTCATCTGCTGGGAGGACTGCGGGGCTCGGCCATGGCCGGCGGGACGGGTTGGGCGAGGCGGCGCCGTCCGGGTTGCGGAGGCGGCCACAGGGCTCTGGGGACTCTAGGTAGTGCGTGCAAGGCCGAGCGCGAGGACTCGAAAGTCATTTGTGTACGGGAGAGACACGTGAGAGCCGGTACTTTTCCATACAGTTTTGTTGCAGGTTTTTTCCGTAACAATGTGGCCGCAGAGTAATCTGCACTTCCTGGATCCCCTCAAGGATTTTGGATAAGCTGATCTTGTACATTTGTAAATAACTGGATGAAAAATGAATTTGACCCTTTCGGGTGCACGTACACGTATACAGTTCCCAATGCTTCCTTAGTGAGGAGCAGTTAAACCGTGGCCTGTCGTTTTCCAAGTAAATAGGAGGCAGCAGCGTTTGCTTTGGAAGCAGCCTTGGTTGTGGTGAGTTGGAATAGGAAGGCCTCTTGATCTGTCCTAGTGATCTGGTTTCATAATAAATTTATAGTTTTTTCATGGGTCTACAGACAGGCGGCGTTGCAGGACCATATTCCTCAAAAAAGACCTTAGAACCCCAAAGCTCCTAGAACATGCCTCACTGATCACCAACTAAGTCACTCTTACTGTAGTTACCAGGTCTTTTATAACTCTCCTTTCTGCTTCCTGAAATGGAAGCATGTTAATCTGGAGAAAGAAGTTATAATTTAAGACAGCAGAGGAAAACAGCTTTAAAAGTTGATTAAAACTTAGTTCTAAAGAGAACAACTGAATTGCAGTACGTAGAAGTACTACTTGTTATTCCCTTTCACAATCTTAGAACTTGGTGAAAAGGTAGTTTTCTGAAAATTTTATTTATTGAATCTGGGTTCTCGGGATACGTGAAGTATATGTTAAAGCATTTGAAATTTTTCTGTAAGACCAGATTATTTTTTTAATCTCAGGTCTGATGTAGGTAGAGATATGATAGTTGGAGTATGTATACCAAAAAGATGAACACTGCAGCTGTTGTTTCCGGTGTTTTAGAGTATAAAGATAGCCTTGTATTGATAGATTTTTGCATTGCTGTAGCTGGATGTTTCAAGATAGTGTGTTGCTCAAGTTAAATTTCAAGTGATGAAGAGAAAGATGTGATAGAATTCTTATCTGCAATTTGTGGTGGTATTTAAAATCAGTTTTGCGATTTTTCTCAGAAATGAGCATTTAAAGAAATGTCTAGCCATGCTTTATTTTAAAAAAGGAGGACATAGTTTAAAAGAAACTGACAGGTAGTAACACATTCAAGTTTCCTAAAGGCTAAGATAAGTACACTTACTTTGTTGTAAGACAGTCTTGTTGGCCTGGCCAGTTAGCTCAGTGGCCTAAAGCACCTGCTTAGGTAGGCTCAGCCAGCAGGTTCAATTCCTTAGTGCTGTGCTGCCCCACCCCCAGGGCACGTTGAGACAGTGAATGAGACTGGGCTTGTGTGGCACTTGCCTGTGATCCCAGTTTGGGAGGCTGAAACAAGAAGGATCACTGTGAGTCTGATCTGTGTAGTGAGACTCTATACTAAATACATTAAAAAAAAAAAAAAAAAAACCAACTTGTTGAACCACTGTGTTGTCTAGACTGGTCTCAAGCTGGCAGTGATCCTCCTGCATCAGTGATCCTCATGCCTCAGTCTCTCAGATGTTGGAATTGCAGGTGTGCTCTACCACACCTGGCCAGAATAGTACACTTTTTTTTCTCTCACTTTTTAGTGATAACTTATTTTTTGTATCTTCTCTGCTGATTCTTTTTTCAAAACGTTGGCAATGAATTCCATGTTAACCCAGTCATGCAGGTTGGGGAGTAATAAGTATATTTTATTAAGATTTTATATTTTCTAACGAAGTATCAAGCTCCGGTTTGAAACAAGGTTATGATACTTAAATGCAATACTCGGTTGAAATATTTTATACTTAAAAGTGTTTGCAAAGCTAGGGATAATCTGTTTACAAACATGAAAGAAATAGAAGTTAAGAATGAAAGGGAAAGAAAGATTATCACAAAATTAGATTGTTTCTTTCAAATTCATTTCTTTTCCACTTTTTGGTTTGTTTTGTAGTGCAAAAGGGCTAAGGTTATAAATGCATAGAATCACAGATTAACTCAGAGGAGCAAGCTTGTTTCTCAGTTTCATCTTTTTAATTGAGATGGATGTATTTGTAGACTAGCTGTTAAAATCTTTGAAACAGTAGTTCTTTTTTTTTCTTTTTTGGTGGTACCAGGGATCGAACTTGGGACCTTGCACTTTCCGGGCAAGCCCTTATTCCACTGAGCTATCTCTCTGGCGAAGCTGTAGCTTTGATTGTATCCTATGATAACTTCAATACAATACTTTTTTTTTTTTTTAAGTGAATAACCAGTACCTACATAGGATCCAGAATTCATTCGGAAAAATCTAAAAAAGACTAGAGTTTCTTCTTTCCTTGAGTCCCCAAATAGCTGAAGATTGGTTTTAAGGCACCTTTGAATTTCTTACTTATCAGTGTTCTTACCTAAGCATTAGAGGGAATGAGGGTTGAAGGAAATAGAATTTGTTGTTAAATGCCTGGTAAGTGTCCTAAGCCTTGTAAGAAAAACCACTGTACTTAGTGTCTAGTGATAGTAAAGAATGTGGATCTGGAGCATGGATTCAAATTTTTTTTGTGTGTGTGGTACTGGGGTTCAAATTCAAGACCTTGCGCTTGCCAGACAAGCATTTGTTCTACTGAGCTCTATCTTTAATTGATCACCTTTGTAGAACCATTGTGACCTTGGGCAAGTTACCTAATCTCTTTCCACTGCAGTTTCTCTATGTGACGGTGGTGATGATATAAATCTTATTTTAGCAATGTTGTGAGTTAAGTAAAAGTTTTCATGTATTTTCATTTTCATCATAATCCCATAATGTAGTTACCACCACATTCATTTCATTTTTCAGCAAGTATTTTGAATTTCTAGTGTGTTCTCCATATTGGACTTACTGGGTGAGCAACGGTGAAGAAAGCTGTTTTAAGACAGATGCAACAGTGAGTAAACACAGGTTGGGGAAGCAGGAGAGTGAGGTTAGGCAGTTAATTGTATATCCTGTTTAAGGCGTGTCCTGTTTCAGAGGTATAAAAGTGTTGGGAGGGGACATTCATTTTCCAGGCAAGAGTTTGAAGTAACTTTTCAGGGTCAAATAGCTAATAAATGTCAGAATAGGATTTAATCTGTGTCTGATTCACAGACTGTGCATGCTACTCACTCTTGATGCACGTGCTTCATTTTGCTGTGTAATACTGGGTGCAGTGTCTCTGTCATTTTAGATCATCCTCAAACAAGTTCATATATTATAGTAGAAAGCACTTTTTGGCAGCTGGGGAAATCTTTGCTAGCCAAAGCTTTTCTTTCCTTTGCTTTGAAAAATCTGTTTTAAAAGTGAAAAGTACCAGATAAATGTCTGTATTGCTACCATTCCTAGTAAATAATTAACAAACTGAAACTCTATAGTGGAATATTCCATCTGTAGGGACACCTATTGATTCTTTCTTACCCTTCAAGATTTTTACTTTTCAAAATCTTTCCTTATTAAGCTAAAGCAGAAGTTTTTTTCCTTTAACACAGGATAGGGGCTATTAACCTGAGTTATGGATAGAATGTATACCCTGAAATTAATTCACAAGATTTTGTTGAAGGTGTTTTTTTTCCCTTCCTCCCCAGCCAGGTGGTATGTAGAAGTTTACTAGCTAGCCAGAGAGGTCTGTGACCTCAGTTCCCTCCACTATCTTATTTTGAAACATTAAAGGAATTGAGAATCTCACAGCCATGTGTTTTGATGTTTGGAAACTACTTGTAAAAAGGTAATTTGGTACCAGAGATCATCTGTCTGTAAAATACTAGATCTAAGATTCATCATTTCTTTCTGTTAAATCACCCCTGTGCCTACTCTCTTAGCTCCTATGGTATAATACTTTGTTGTATAATAAGTCTTAAAATTTGCCTCTTCTAGGTCTTCATGAAATCAGATATCTAAAATAATGGTATTTGTATTTTATTACCCACTTACAGGAAATTTTTGGAACTTCCGTTCCCATCCCCATCCTGCCCTATTCAGGGGATTGAACCCAGAACCTTCACACTGAACACAGCCTCTTTTTAGCTTGGGACAGGGTCTTGATAAGTCACTAAACTGCCTAGACTGGGATGGAACTTGAGATCCTCCTTTTCAGCCCCTCAGAGTGCTGGGATCACAGGCATGTACCACCATACCTGGGTTAGACTCATTTTAAACCTTAGAAACCTAATTGGAGTTAGGATTGTGAAAGTGTTCAGTGTTCCATAACCATCACGTAGTTACTAGTCTTTATTATTACTTTTTTTTGGTACAGGGTCTCACTACACAGTTTGAACTCATGGTGATCCTCCTGTCTCAGCATCCTTAGTGCTGGGATTACAGGCCTAGGCCACATGGTGTGCCCGGGGTTCTGGGGCCAGCATGCCATGTGGTACCAGGGATCAAATGCGGGACTTTGTACTTGCCAGGCAGATGCTTATGCCGCTGGGTTATCTCTCCAGCCTAGTCTTTATTTTTTAGATTGCTTCTACCAACCTTCTGATTGTGCTATCCTGTTGAATAGAAAACAAGTTTTAGAGATTGAGACATTATATTTAATTTACAACAGGAGTTTATTTTGAATTTGTATAAATTTGTATCTACATTAGAAAATGTAGATATAGTGAAGATCCTTACAATTTTTTCTTACTTGACCAAAGATGAGAAAAAATTTAATTTTACAATTTGAGAGGTAGAGCATGCTGATACTGTTATATTTTTATTAGGACCAATATC